TTGTGCTTTTGTTAGACAAGCGCTCTACCACTAAGCTAAACCTGCAGTCTCCACATGCTACTTTTTACAGTATGACATTGGCCCTCCTCTTAAGTCTGGATGGAAATGTATGATGCTTCAACCAAAAGAAGTCAACAAACATGATGCTTTGTGACTTCCCAGGCTTGGTTATGATGCAAGAACTCTTTTTTTCAAGAGCTGGGGGTTGAACACCTACTCTCATGTTGTGAGAGAGCCCAGACTTGCCCGTGCAGAGGAGAACAAAGCCCCCCCCCCACCAAGTTAACAGCCAGTTTTGATCTCCAGATAAGAAAAAAAAAAAACTAGCCTTCAGATGCTTCCAACCTCCACTCAGCATCTTTCAGATGCCATGAAACAGACATGAGCTATCCAGGCATTGCCTGTAGTTCCTGACCCACAGAATATGTGACTATCATAAATGGTGATTTTATCCCTACATTTTGTGGCAATGTAGTCAGCAGCCACAGTAACTAAAATGGGACCAGGCAGTGGACAAGATTTTTATCCCTTTCAGCACAGAGAGGTTTTAAAGTCTTGTGCAAGAGTATGCAGTTAAGGGGCTGAGGATATTTCAAATCCTATCTAGAGCTTGGGCATTTGACATTTACTGGTTGCTGCAGACATCATAGGAAATAACCCTGTTTATAATGTGGACTTTCCTCCTCAAGACATAGAGAACTGTTTGCTAGAACAAGCAGAATAACTGTATTCTCTGAAATCTGACTGCATTAGCATTGTTTCCTAAATGCCAGAAAGCGGGTGGGGAACAACTATCAGTCATCCATTTGTTTTAGTATCTGTTGAGCATTTAACTATTTGCCATGCACTGTTCTAGGTGCCAGGTAAACATACACAAAAATCTTTACCTTCATGGAACGTGTATTTTAGGGGTGGAGAGAGTCTGATAACAAAGTAAAATGTGTCAATGTCATTCCTATCACAGGACCATGTTTTAAAGATGTTTTAGAGCATAATAGAGCTGTAAAGAGGAATAGATAGTGCTGGGTGGTCTTGGAGTTACATTTGGAAGTTCAGGGGCTTCTGTAAGAATGTAGGCCCAGCAGTAAATGGATGGAGCTGGAGAATATCATGCTAAGTGAAATAAGCTAGTCCCAAAAAAACAAAGGCCAAATGTTTTCTCTGATGTGTGGGTGCTAATTCACAATAAAGCAGGGGCAAGGGCTAGAGAAAAATAGTTACTTTGGATTAGGTAGAGGGGAGTGAAGGTAGGGGTAGGAATGATAGTAGAATGAATCGGACATTATTACCTTATGTACATATATGACTACATGACTGGTTTGATTCTATATTATGTGCAACCAGAAGAATGAGAAATTATACTCCATTTATGTATGATGTGTCAAAGTGCATTCTACTGTCGTGTATAATTAATTAGAACAAAATTTTAAAAAAATAAAATGTAGGTCCCTGAGTATGAGAAGAAAGTGAGAGATTTAAGTATATGGAGGAAGATTGTCCAGGGCAGAGGCCACAGCAAGTACAAAGGACCSGAGGCCAGAGCACATATGGCTGTTGAAGAAAAACAAAGAGGCAGGGGAACTGGAACAGAAAGGGAAAGGTGAAAAGCAGGTCTTGCTGAATACTGCAGGGCATTTTAATGATTCATGTTTTTAGTGAGTATAAGAGAAGCCATTGAGAATTTTTAGCAGAAGAGTAATGAACTAATGAAACTGAAATTTGAGATGAAACTCAATTCACTATTTCTGCTGGCAGTGGGGTCTGCACAAGCTGCAGGCCTCTGCAGCCAAGAAGTGTTACAGCTCTTAATGGTGGGCTATGCCCTCCAGTGTTAGAGCAGATTCCAGCAGCTCATTGTCAGTTTCTTCTGGGTTCTTGTCTCATGGATTCTAAGAACGAAATCCAGAAACCAGAAAGAGCAAGTGTAAGAGTAGGATTTCTTCAAGTGTGCACAGAAACAAAACTCAGACTGAAGGAACGAGAGAACCTATCAGGGGTTGCCATCTGAGTGTTTAGGGGTTTATATAGCACTTGGGTCAATGCTATTGGTCCAAAATTATGCTGGATAGGGTTTGTAAAAGTACTAATGCTGTTGGTTAGCCCTGAATCCCATTCAGGTTTGCCTTCCATTTTCTCCTAGCTCCTCAGGAGGTGGTTAAAGGCAGTGGATCACACATGCTCCATGGGTGGAGGGAGGGGTCTGGAGACCAGCGCTGCGTGGAGCACACTTCTTCAGCAGGCATCCACACTGTGCGCAGGCCAGACTGCTGTGAGGGGACAGGTTGGCTTGCCCCAGCCCACCTTGAGGTGCTGCTCAGGCCCTACGTGGTTTGATGGGCTCTTTACAGCAGCCTGTGCTTCAGCCTGCCCGGGCCACCACTCTGTTGTTTCAGCACCTCTCCTGCTGCTTCTTAGCAGGGAMCAGTGGGCTGGCCAGGAATCTGTCACTAATTTAGCTTTCTTTTATTTATTTTTTAATGTAAAAGGGATTGGAACCAGGGGCACTTAGGCACTGAGCCACATCCCTAGCCCTTTTTATTTTTTGAGGTAGGGTCTTGCTAAGTTGCTTAAGGCCTCACTAAATTGTTGAGGCTGGCCTCAAACTTGAGATACTTCTGTCTCGCTCGGCCTCCCAAGTCACTGGAATTACAGGCATGCACCACCTGGCTAATTTAGCTTTTAACAAGATCATTTTGACTTYTGTATTAAGGATGGTTGGAGGGAGCAAATGATGAAGGCAGAGAGACAGACTTTGGAGGGTTATTCTAAAAATTCAGAATGGACAGTAGTGGCTTTGACCAGATGGTGGTAATAGACAACTATAGTCATATACTTTAAACGCAGAGCAGACCGGAGTTGCTGGCAGATGTGGAGTGTGAGAGAGAAGAGAGAAGGGAGAGAAAGGAAAAGAGCAATCTGAGCAACTGAAACATGAGTGTGCTTAACTTAGATGACTGGGAAGTCTGCATTTAAAGGAATAAGGTTAGATATGCTAAACGTGAGATACCTTTTAAGTGGAGATTTCATAAAGGTGGTTGAATATATAGATCTGGCATTTAGGATAGAGGCCTGGGCTGGAGAACTTGAGAAAGGTCAGCACATGGACATATTAAAAACTAGAACACTGAACGGGGTGACCAGAGTGTGTGTGTAGACAGGAAGAGTTTCAAGGACTGAACTGTGGGTTACTCCATTATTAGGATGTCAGGGAGAAGACCCAGCAAAGGAAATTGAGGAATGGTAGTGAAACAGGGCATGATGTTCTGAAAGCCAGGTTGAGAAAATGTTTCTGGCAGGGTGGTTTGCAAAGGGATGATCAAACTGCGAAGTTTTGCTTATTTATCTAGACAAATATTGAGAATTAAATGATACCAACCCCACATATAACCCCTACCTCCATTTCTCTGTTATGATGGGTTCTGTAATGATTTTTTGGAGCTTCCACTTAAGAGGAACGATGATTAAAGAAGCTGTGAATACTGTAGTGGTCACTAKGCTGTTTACAGGTGTTCCTCCCATTCTTGGCTCATGGTAGCAGTGCTACTCTTAAATATGTCCACATGTCCTAACCAAGGAAATGTAAGCAAAGTGGTGTTTGTCACCTTCTACAGAAGCTTGAAGAGCCAGTGAACAGTCCCTCACATGTTCTAGGCTATGAGCAACTGTGGAAGCATGAGGGAAGCCTGGTTGGCCAGAGACAGGCAGACTTCCTTGCTGACCCTGATAGACATCTAGTATGAGAAATAAATGTGAGTTTTGTTAAGATARCAAAACTCAACCAATCCTGAAACAAAGCCTGAAGACAAATAATAGTGTCCCAGGCTCCAAGTATAACCAGCAGGATTACAAATTTAAGGATGTAAAAGTTTTCTTTATAAGGGATAAAGAAAACCCAGCAGCAAATAACACAGACAATAGTTTTCCTCTCTGTCAGTTCTCCATTAAATAACTATTAACTTTTCTTCTTCAGAAACTTCCAAAAATAGGGTTGTGGCTCAGTGGTAGAGCATTGCCTAGCATGTGTGAGGCACTGGGTTCAAGTCTCAGCATCATATATAAGTAAATAAAATAAAGTTCACTGACAACTAAAAAGATTTTTTTAAGTGATTTTTAAAAAAGAAACTTCCAAAACATAGTTTAGTGTATTTCCAATTTTGTTCTCTGAGCCATGCAGGAATGCTCACTTCAAATGCAGATTCCCTGGTCTGGGCCCCTTTGAATGCTGATGTTCTTCCTCCAAGAAGGCTTCATAATCTTGTTCTTTATTTAAATAATGTGTGGTTTGGTACAAAAATATTTGTGTCTTCGTCCCAAGTTCCTGACACAGAACTCTTGGAAGYCTTGGAATGTACTGAGTGATGGAAGAGGTGTCTTCTTCTGTCTTGACCCCTTTTGATCACAACAATTAATACTAATCAATTAATACTAATGAGGTGACTTAGGTGGGTGAACCTGGTTAGCCTCAGAATGTGGCTGGTCACCTGAAAAACTAGGTGCTTCGACCTCCAACCTACCAACTTCTAGGAAAGAGGTGGGGACACTGGARGTATAGATATAAAATAAACTCGTGAATGAGCTCTAGAGAGTTCCTGGATTATAAACACCAAGGCACTAGGAGGATGGGATGCTCTAAGGACATAGAAGCCCCATGCACCTTCCCCTGCTCTGCCCTGTCCTGAACTGTAACATTTATAACAAGCCAGTGAAATGTAAAGCGTTTTCCTGAGTTCTGCAAGCCATTAATAGCAAATTCTGGACTCAATCTGGACATAAGTGGGGACAGTCTTATGCAACTGAACCCTTACACCTGTGGAGTCTGATACTAACTCCGGGTAGTTAGAGCTGTAGACACCCAGTTGGTGTCCAGAGTCAGAGAACTGGTTGTTGAAAACAACGTACCAATGTAACACTGAAGTTCAACATCAAGTCTCACTGCTTACACATTTCAATATTAGAGAAGAAATGTTAGTGCAAGAGACAAGGAAATCACAATTCTGCATAAAAGAATTTTATTTAATGGCCAGATCCCAATGAATAATGTTAGCCATTGCTTGATTCTGCTCAAATGTGCTATTAGGTATACTCCTAAGAAAGTGTACAAGTGCATCACCAAAAGCTGTCTAATTTGGATTGTGTAGAGTAAAATAAAAGTTCATAAATCTTTGTTCTTTGATAAAATTTTTAAAATATAAAAATGAAAAAAACAGAAAAGCAGTATTCAAAACTAATAAACGTCACCTTGGACTATTTACAGTARGATGCCTTTTTATAACAGAATACTCTGCTTGATTCTTTTCCTCACATTTTACTTAGAGGTATTCCCATGTCTTTATCTGAACCTTATTCATGATTTCTTCCTCTCGTGTCTCACATGAAACAGCCATCTTCTCTTTTCACTCATCTTTGAGTCTCTAATACTTCTTTTTCCTCACTAATAAATGATTAACAGTTCTATTCAACAGACATTTATTTATTGAGCACCTAATATGTGCCAGGCACTGTGCTAGGAGGTGGGGATACAGATGAAAAGACACCAACCCCCTTACTCAGGAAGCTCAAGAGTTTGGGTTGAAATTTTTAAATATCTTTCACATATTCCACAAAATCCTAGGCCCCTAGAAAGTACATTTGGAGATTTCTGGAAACAGTGCACTCATTGGGAATCTGTCCACTCAGCCTACTGCCTGCATGTGGAATTTGGAATTCTGCTCTTTGTGAAGCAGAGCCTAAAACACCCACCTACAGTTGGAGTTCCCAACTCTTATCAGCTGGAAACCACATGTCGGGCAGTAATATTTTACTTTGCTTCTACAAATTCCAGATTTGAAAAGCCCTTGATCCAAAAACTACCAGATTTGAGCAATAGCTACATATTAAGAAAGTCCTCCCTGATTTGGAATAACCAGATGCTCTCAAACTCCTGTCTTTTCCTAAGTGTCCAGCAGGAGCTCTTGCAGTTACCTCCACAGGCTCAGACTTCTGTGCATTTCTGTATGAAATTTTCCTTTGTTTCAAACATAAATCTGTAGGTGACTTTTTTTTTTCTTTTTTTCACGTTTGAACCAAAAGCAAGCTCAGTTCTTGCCTTTGGTCTACATTTTCTTTGTCCATGAAGTGAGACCCATGAGAGTTACTTTAAAAAGGTAAACATGAAAGAGAAAACAAAAACTGTACATGACATACCACGGAAGCAAAAACTAAACCACAGCCTCGCTGCCCTCATCCAGGGCCATGCCTGGCAGACGGTGTCCCTAGTAAGTATTCACAAGTGGTGATCTTTCTCAGGCACAGTCCATCAAGTCCAGATCATCCAGGTGGGCTCCCCTCTTCCAGTCTAGCATGTTCCTTTCCTGAGACCCACACAGCCGACCACTGAACAACGATGAAGAGTGCATTGGTGGAAAGTGATAGCTGTGCCTTTTCCAGGCCACACAGGGCCAGATCTCCACACAGTGTCCATCCAATTTGGTGACGCTCATCCATTCAAGAACTAGAGCCAGATTCACAGCTTCCTCGTGAGCTAGTTCCAAGCCCTTTGGACCTGAAGGCAACTTAGGGAGTTGGCATTATTCTCTTGTTCCATTTGCCTCCCCCCTCCCACCCCCGCTGTGGTGGGGAGATGGTGTTGGAAAGAGGATAAGACGAGCAAGGCATACTGAGAGGAGGAGGGGACCAAGGAGTGATCATGCACAAGCTTCTGGCTCTGTCGTGCATATATTTTCAGTGTAACAGCGTGAATTTTGACACATAAGGAAGGGCTTGTGCTTTTTCATTAAAGAAATAACTCGCCCTGAAAAGCTCATTTGGCAAATGTGGCCACGAACGTGTGTATGTGTGTGTGTGGGCAATGTGTCAAGAGGTGATGCCTCACGTCCGGTGAGTGTGTCCTACGGGCCCTTCCCCATTGCCACACCCACCTCACCAGCAYAGAGAACCTGATGGGTTACACCTGGTCGGTTTGATATTCAGAAGCTTCTGACAGACTTTCTGAGAAGCTCAGGAAATTCTCCTGGTACTCAGAACACACAATCTCGTAGCGGTAGTGCCGGAACTCCACGGCAAAGGTGCCAAAGTAAGACAGGAAGCACATGACCAGGCCCCACTGGACCCTGGCTGCGTACATGTGGATGTCTTGGGCCATGAGGATGAAGTCTGGGGAGAAGCAGTCAAGGAGGGCACCCTCATCAGCCACACTCATCAGCAATCCCCTCACCAGCAAAACCGGGAGCTTCCCAGAGCTGCTAAAGGCCAATATTTGCATGAGTAATAACATAACTGTTGAACTCTTTGTGCCAGATGTGCTTCTAAAGGTGCTTCCATGAATAATCTCTCTCAATTCTCACAGCAACCCTCTTATCATTTGYAGTTGTATAACAGTAAAGAAACTGAGACCACGTGAATAAGTGACTGGGCTCAAGGCACTCAGGTGGACAGCAGTCGGTAGCAGGGCTGGATTCACACAAGCACTCTGACTCCCAGGCCAGGTGTTCAACAACCGCACTCTACACCTGCCTGATGGAGTGTGGGATTAACAAAAGAATTACAACTCCGAGGTTAATTAGTGAATCAAAAACATAAAGCTATCTTTTTAAAAATCACTATGAACAACCAGAGGTTTATAGTTCTATCTGCAGAAATAATTTTGAACATACCAGGTTGCTAACGACCTCCATGTAAGCTGTGTTGGGCTGTGCTATGCTCTAATACTGTTGAGTGACCCCCTTYCCTCTTCTAATTTTCACCATTCTCTTCTAGACAATACTGTATAATCCCTGACGTCATAATATCACATTAAAACTTATGCCCAGGTGAAAACATGCAATTTAAAAACAAATAGATGAAAACCCTATTCCTGACTGTATCTGGTGTGTGTATGTGTGTGAGTGTGTATACATATAAACAACTGTATATACGGAGACTAGGACCTCCAAAAAGGGTGAAAAGTTCATAGCATGTTTTAATGAAGGGCCAAGAAGCTGAGGACTGACTACATTTATTTAGAAAAATCAGAGATGTCTCTTAGAATGAGTTTTCTCTTTAGAACTTAGGCCTAGAGTTTGGGGACATTTTCAGAAAGTAAGAATATTGAAACTATTTCAGCCAAGCTTTGTTCTCTTGATRAGGCCTGGATCCCTTCACCCAAGAACCAAGAAGTATTCTAAGTGTTCCAAAATGACATGGATCAGAATCAACTATAAGCTCAAAACAGAATCATTTAAAGTCTGCATACTCATACTAAAGCAATAGGAACTTAAGTTAATGGAGAATGATTAAATCAAACCTCAAGTGGCCAGTTTTGACTTTTTTGATTTTATGTTTTTTATCAGGTTGCTGGCAAGCAGCAAGTTTTTTGGTTGGTTGGTTGGTTGGTTGGTTGGTTGTGTATGTACTGGGCATTGAACCCAGGGGCACTTTATCAGTGAGCTACATCCACAGTCTGTTTTATTTTATTAAGTTACTGAGGCTGGCCTTGAACTTGCGATCCTCCTTCTTCAGCCTCACAGAGTCACTGGGATTATAGGCCTATGCCACTGTGCCTGGCAAGAAGCGAGATTTTTGRCTTTGATTTTAAGTTCTTAAGTGTCCTCTGTCTAATGTGACTGCAGAGCTTCCGAAAAACAGTGAAATGATCAAATGGCCGTTAGTGAAGGAAAGGGAAATAAAAAGCTCTAAATGTTCCACTAATTAGAGAATGTCTTTGAAAGCTAAATGTTTTCATTCTCTAGGGAGAAAATGGTGCAGTAACTGAGGGCAAGAACTGAGCCCAAGTTTATATCTTTTTTGGAGGGGCAGGGGTGGAAGCATGTTCCTGGGGAGTGAATCCAGGGCGCTTAACCACTGAGCCACATTCCCATCCCTTTTTTGTATTTTATTTAGAGACAGAGTCTCACTGAGTTACTTAGGGCCATGCTAAATTGCTGAGGCTGGTTGAACTCAATTCTCCTGCCTCAGCCTCCTAAGCGGCTGGGATTACACAACCTCACTGGTGCAAGTTTAAATCTTGATACACTATATACTACTTGTGGGATCTTGGGAAAATTAGCCTGTGATCCCATTATTACCTTTCAAATAAGGATTAAAAGGTACCTTGATACATTAAAATTTCTGAGAATTATGCTGTACACATGGTTAAGTGCCCAGTAAGCACTGGTGATTAAAGATGTATAATTGTGTGTAATTAACCGTCTAGGAACTTTGACTCCCTTCTCTGGTTTCCTGAGGAGAAGGAGGAACTATTAGAAGGCACACTTGTGGATTTAGCTCCACCCGGGATGACTGATCTGACTGGTGGGATTGGAACTGGTCGGCTTGTATTGGGCCAGTGCTCCATCCTAACCAGCTATCTCTGGGATTTGTCTGGGATTCATGGAGTGAGCCATTTTCTGCCTTTCCCTGGTTTCTATGCTTGTTACTGGATGGGTAAGTTGAATTGCAGGGTGTAAGAGATGAGGCCTGCAGCATTCTTTCCAAACTTCCTAGAATAAAGGCTCATTTCTTCTTCCCCATCTGTCTCCTTATGTCTGTTCTCAATTGGTTCAAACTCTGAGGGAAGGAAAGGAAGAGCATCCTAAATCCTCAAATATTTGTTTAGGAAAATTACACATGCAATGACAATCTAGTTCTTGAATTTGTTTCCCAGAAAGGCTTATTTTCCTGAAAGATATAAACATCCTAGTCCCTTGAAATTCATTTTAGAATTAATAAATTAGATAACAAGGCTTAATTAAATCATAATAAAACTTTTTAAGATGGAGAAAAATTACCATTCTCTTTGGGTTATGTATTGTATGTTTTTCACAAAAGGAAACTTCTGTCATTAGTGAGGGAAGAATGCGTGACACCACTCCTACAAATTGAAACAATCTTGAGATGGCAGAACTTGCTCTTAGTTCTCCATCTCTCTTGAGCATGAAAAACTAACCTGAGAGTTTTGGTTTTCATACTTGTTTACTTTTCTGTTTTGTTTGAAGATTCTGAGATGAAGCCAGGAGCAGTGGTACACATCTCTAATCAGAGCAGCTGGTGAGGCTAAGGCAGGCAGATGGTGAGTTCAAAGCCAGCCTCAGCAATTTAGTGAGGTCCAAAGCAATTTAGTGAGATCATCTCCAAATAAAATATAAAAAGGGTTGGGGAATGTGGCTTTGTGGTTAAGCACACCTGGGTTCCATCACTGGTACCAAAAAAAAAAAAAAAGATTCTGAGATGACGTGAGAGTTATCCCAACATCCTGGGAATGGCAACTGTCTCACAAACAACTTACCTGTGTTTTAATCTCACTAGTAAAGAACCTTTCACATTCAAAGGATACAAAGGACTACACAGAGAGTGATAGATGCTGACAGAATAACTCGCGGAATTCCAACTTTCCGTCCTTCATTCTTGATGTTGACTTTGAGTGTCAATGCAGCCTGGATCCAGCAGGTCAATGTGCCAAATCCAAAAGTCAAGGAGGTTCCCACATTATGGATTTCTTCATCCTTTGTGAGCTAGGGATGAACAGACCATGGCATGTGGGAGCCCATTTAGAAAAGAAGACAATGCAAGCTGATGAAATATGCGAGGGGAGAAAGATATCTCAATACTGGGATGAGAGATTTTAGGAAGATGAGAGTCCTCCATCTCCACTGGGTCTTTGTGTCTAGTCTCAAATGGTTYAAACTCTGCAGAGGAAGGGAAATAAACAGTACCCCAAACCTTAAAAACATTCATTCAGGAAAACCACTTAGGAAGTGGTCATCTATTCTTTGAATCGATTTTTTTCAGAAAAGCCTTTTGGGAAAGGAAATGAAAAAACCAGACAAGTTATACACAAAAAAAGGAAATGTCAAAGTTCGTACAAGCCTACATTCCCAAGTTTATTCTCCAGGCTAAGAAAATAAGACACAGGATCTGTTCTTTAAAGATAGGATAACCAATTCTGGTCAAGTCAAGATTGAATTGGCATAGACAACTAATCACTCTTGGGCTGTTCTTTACTTCTATAAAACTGACCTGTCTGTGTGATGGGTCCAACTCCATTCAGGAGAATTCTTTGAGTTTTGTTTTACTGTAGTAATAAGAAAAACTGCCATCTACCAGCTTGGTCATTATTTAGAGACTCATTAAAAGATAAAAGGATTGAAGATTGATAGGCAAGGCTTTTATAGAGTCAGTAGGTTAAATGAAAGTCATCTGGGTTATTTCATTTGGGAGACAGAGATATAAAATCTTCAAATCATCCCACTTATTTAAAAAAATGTATATAACACTTAAATCTCTCTTTGTAATTACATGCAATTTAGTCATACATATAGGAAAATAAAATTATTGTTGAAGGGATAGCTTTTAAACCATGCTGTAAAATATCATTTTGTTGTTTAGTATGGTTGTGAATAGCTTTTGCATCAAATGAATATTACTTCTCCTTTATAATTTTTTTGTATTGTTTTTAGCTATAGGGTTCATTCTCCCATCTAGGCCCATCCCCTTGTTTGGAAGAAAAGAAACCACTTTTTCCTCATAATTCAAAAAATATATCTTCAAAATTTGTTTAAAAATAATGATTCCTCAAATTAAATTTCCCTAGGATGTTGGTTTTCTGTGCCATATGCAATCTATTTCATTTCCTTTTTTGCCATTTTAAATGTAAATTTAAAAATAGATAATAGTTATGTGGTTCAAACTTTTAAAATTTACAAAAAAAAAAAAATGGTGTAGATTGAAAAGTCTCTTAGCCAGTATACATCATCCACCTGGTTTCTCCACAGGGAACTACTTTGTTGTTTGTTCCTTGTTTGTTTCCTATAGATATTCCTGCAAGTGTTCTTTATATCTACTGTCATTCATTCATAATTTTGATTATTTGTGGTTCATCAAGACTGTCCCATCTCTGTGCTTCTAGGACTTTACTATAGATCCAAATGGGCACTTAACTCATCAAAACCATGGTCAAGAGAACTGATCATCACTGAGCATGTTACAACCTACCTGCACCTGAAGCACAGGCAGGCAAGTGAGGGAAAGGCCCCCAAGAAGATTCTAGTAAAAATGCTCTGTGCCCTAACAATTTGGGTCTTTTTAAAAAAAAAATTTAAAAAGATTTATTTTGTTTTGGTTGTAGTTGGACACAACACCTTTGTTTTTATTTATTTATTTATTTTTATGTGGTGCTGAGGTTCGAACCCAGGGCCTCGCACACGCTAGGTGAGTGCTCTACCGCTGAGCCACAACCCCAAGCCCACAATTTGGATCTTAACAGGATAAAATCTCAAATACTCTCTTGATAATTCATTACCCTAACAAATATGTTCTAAAAATGCAGCTTTCTGGTTGTCTAACTTGATATGTGATGGGATTTAGAATAGTTTGAGGAATTTGTGGAACTGCCTGTCAAACAACTCATCAAGTGAAAAAATACTTATTTAGTCCCCAAGAGGAAGTCTTGGGGAACATGTGATCCTGGCTTAATGAATTAGCAGGAGTGAGAGTTAAGACAGGACATGCTCTTAGAAAATCCACTACCAGATTTTCAGTAAGAACATTTCCTGAATGCTCATTAGATTGCTGAGGGTCTTGAATGCCTACACCATTTGTATTTCAAATCTAAGAAACAGGAGGAGTGTCAGGATCAGTGTTTGCTCACAAGGAGAAAATCTGAAGCAATAGTATGTATGGCATAGGTTGGAGGATGGTATGGAGGGAATGGAGGCAGGAAGATCAGTCAACTACTGCAATAAATTAAGTCATTTAGGACAAGAAGTGGGTGATAGTATTGGCAAGGGAAATTATTCTTGCAGATTGTGATCTTAAGCTTCTAAATTTCTAGGAAGAAAGATTAGGATTAGTATRTCTTTATACAAGTTATAGGTGTTCTAGAGAAATTCTGAGCTTTCAAACTGGATTCCATGGGGGCTTACTAACTTGAAATGTAAGCATTCATCAAATAGAATATGTGGTGTTTAATTATAAAAAGGCAATGATCCTAAGTTTTCTAGAAAGACACATTAGGATGCAATTTGCTATTTTTAATAAAAAGTGTGACCCACTTCCAAATTCTTTGTCTAAAACTATTAATAGCTACTTCTTACAATAGCCTTGCTGTAATTCATATGCAGACTTTTCATATGTCTCACATGTGTGACAAGAACTGGCTCAGAGGGCTGGCTGCTGGAGAGCCTGTGACAGTGAGAACCACTGTTCCTAATTGTTTTTAAGGYTGATGAAAAATTAATATGGAACACATCGTGACTAGACTTCACTAGCTGCAATAATCATACAAGTGAAGGCCTTAATGATATGAGAGGGAGGTGAAAAAGGCCAAATGAAGTACCTGAAAATTACCAAGTAAGGTCATTCCAAAGGAAGCCAGACACAGCGCCACCAATCCACTAATATTCAGCCATGGGTTTAAAACCTTTGGTTTCAGTTGTATGAAGCGCAGAACAGCTACCACAAGGGCTAGGAATAAAGCAAAATCTTAAAATTAAAAAAAAAATGTAAATCATTCACCTACTATGAGGCAGAGTTCTCCACCCACAACGTGCACAACTCAACTTTGCATCATACTCCATCTTAAGTCTCTGAAAGGACAGGCAATTTTACAAAGACACTTTCCATGCAGTGCTTGTGATTATTTAGATTTGTGGTGACACCACCTGGGGGAAGCCAAGAGGACTTGAAGCAGCAGTGCTGTCTATTATGGGGGTGATGCAAGGATGACAGAACTTTTAGTAGTGTTGTTCAGAGTCTGCAAAAACAAGGTCAGCAAAGGGCAGACTGGCCTCAGAGARCATTGCAGAGGTGTGGCACAGAACAAATGAGATGGGGACAAAGACCTGGAATTCATTAATATCAGCCATCCTTTAGCTTACAACAGTGTTAGAAAACAGTGTTAGGAAGGTGGGGGGAGAGGTCAAGGTAACCACATCTGGGCAAACCTGTGTTCCCTGGGCCAGAAACCATCCCTGGGGATAGGAAGGAAAGTGTACAAATCCCTTCATTATTGGTTTTAGTTTCACTTCCCTTTGATGCTCCCAGTAGGTGCTCATTGTCAAAGGACCAAGACAATTCAAATTAGAGCAGTTAAAGTAATCATGTTCATGAAATCTGCATCCTAACACCAAAGATGGTGGGGACAGAGGTTGGTGTGTACTCAAAATCAGACCTGGTACATCAAGAAGACTCAATTCTTTCAAGGGATATTAATCACCCYATCTCATTTGTTCCATGCCACACCTCTATAATACTCTTTTAAAAGGCCACTCTATCTTTTGAAGTAACTTGGTATYTAAGAACTTGAAGAGAAAATGAGGGAAGTTACTTGTATTTCAAATCTGACTTCTAATAGTAACCTTGGGGACAGTTACCACTCAAGCCACTAGTCTAATAATCACCTTTTATTAGAGACTTAGTGCAGGGATATTTTCATATAGATACAAAAAGCTGGAAGAGAATGGTTTACAAATGATGAAATGAATATAAATTGTATCTTTTAATTAATATAAATTCTATGTACATATAAGGAAATGCAGTTTCTATTGCTTAAGACAATTAATTTTGACATTAAGGTTCAGCAGGGAAGACAGAAATTCAAGAATTACCCTATTTATATTAGCAATTATGTTGGTAATTATTCACTAAAGGTTTGCCTTGATTACAGGCCCTTATCCATAATCATTAGTTAAAAAAAAATCTTCCATACATTTGCATTTTCCAAGGATGCTAAATTTCATAGTGTCAGGCTATGAACTCAAAGAGTTGGCTTTTGGTTCCAAGTACCTCTGATCACAGAGTGGAATAATACTGGATCTTAATTGGATTTTGGAACCAAAATAGAGATAAACCATGATTTGTGAAATATCAACTTATTCAGCCTTGATATAGTTTTAGTACATGTTTCACCTAATGCCCACTATGGATCAGAAAATTMATCAATTCTATTTCAGTGGACAACAGTTGCTCAAACAATTGGTTTGAGCTACCTAGTTAGGAGTTACTTCAGAAGTCTATTAATAATAACTATAGTTAGAAGGTGAAAGCTACTTCTATCCTAGAAGGTGAAAAGTAAACATTGTTATTAATTTTTAGGATGAGAATAGGAGAAGGAAGTGGKGGCAGGAGTAATTCCACATACAGCATTCTGACATAACTTGGTCAGCTGATAAAGAAGTCATTAGATTAGGACTAGAGAGTTCAATGCAGGGCACCATGGGATTTACTTGCTAATTAATTCTGCATGGCTGTAAGGGAGTAATGACAAAATACCAAGGTGGCACATTTAATTTCTTTTAAAAATGATTAGTGAAACATATTACTTTGGGAACTCCCTGCTGGCCATTTAATTAATTGTAGAATAAGACCGTGCTGGAACCTTAGCCTAGGTGAAACCCAATCCCTCATATAGCTCCTCACAATGACCCATGTAGTTTAGTCCCTATGCCCAGGGGAAGGGATCTGATGGTCAATCTCTGAGCTAACTATTTCTTKCCAGTAAACACGGGACTTGTATCATGTCTTGGTCCCAGTAATGCTAAGCTTCCTATTTGTAACATGGGTGATAAGACACTTTTCCATGAGCAAGTGATGAAATTACACAGGAACCAGAAAGCTATGTGGAGCCAATAATTCAACCCAGCACTCTTCGTTCCGAACACCATACTTTGCCCTTTTCTCCTGTTAATTCCATTATTAATCAGCTCAGATGAGGCATAATTTCCTTTTAAAACAGATTCTACTTGAATTTTTAGAATGGCAAACTAAATGAAGAGACTGACCCTATAAACAGTCGTATTAACTTTTGGTTTAAATGAAGTCAGATTCAAACTATGAAGTCCATTGTCAACAAAGTGGTAGTTTATTTAWACCTTATTGAAAAAGACAGTTGGGGCAAGAGGACAATTTCAAWGGCATCATTATATATGCTGACCAACTTTTACCATGTTCACCTGATGAACATGACATGCTGTTTAGTTTCATTTAAAAAAAAAAAATTTTTTTGAGGCAAGAGGACCACAAGTCCTGGGCAACTTAGCAACACCCTATCTCAAAATAAAAGCTTTTAAAAAGGGGCTAAGGATGTAGTTCAGTGGTAGAGTACTGGTCTAACATGTTCAAGCCCAAGTATCACAGTGGGAAGAAAATTAGGTTTTACTAGATGGTTTTTAAAAGATATTAAAAATCTTGTTTTAAAATGTAAATTTTGAGTATGTAGAATCTTTGCTATACATGTGCCCCCTATTTAATTTTCCTGTCTATTTTAAGAGTATAAATAGAAAAATTGTATATTTAAATTTTTTTTTTAATTTTGAGACCGACTAGGTTTTTAAAATTCAAAACTCTGAGTAACATCTCTTCATTACAGCTCTAAACTGGTGCCTGGCCAATTCTTTTTTGTTTTTGTTTAGTTTTACTGTTTATATGCATCCATAATTCCTATTTATGACTGCGGTAGAACACGRCAGTCAATATGTTTTGGCTGAAGGAGGGAGAGAGGCTGCTATTAGGTGACTGAAATCATTCAGCTATTAGCTTCATCCTCAGCAACCTCCCCGGGGGCAGGAAATAATATTCCTCTCRAGAAATTTGTCTTAGGTCTTTTTTCCCCCTAGTGGAAAGGAAAATGTGGATTCAGGACAAAGAGCATAACGAATTCTGTAAAGAAAATAATTGAGCATTCAATCTTTGATTAGCCTGTCAAAAAGATAAAAGATCTTTGCTAACTAATTTTAATAAATGCTACACTGACTCATTTTTAGATTATAAATTATAATCTATAGGGCTGYTGAGAAGCAGTCACTTATAGGCAGTGCGGGCTATTTCTTAAAGGTAGTTATGTTATCTAAAGTAATAGTCTGATGTCTAGCAGGGACAGACCTGGGGAGATGAAAGTATCCACAGTGGAACAAGAATCTTTACTAAATGGATTMYTTTTCACTTCCAGAGTTTATAAATAAATAATTGTTGGTTTGCTCCCACTGAACACTAATCTTAATCAGTTTTGTGTCTACCAGATGGTCCTTCAAATGCTGAAAGATAATAAAGACTAAACACTGGATGTTGCAATACCTCCAAGCAAGAGCTGGTAAAAGCTTAATTGCATCTTGGTGGAGTAGAAAGAACTGAAGAATAAGATGATGACAAATGTCATCTGGAAGAGGGGAACTTGCTTGCATTGCTTTGTTTTTGGAAATGCTTTTATAATTAGTTAATCATATGTTTTATAACTGGTGAATCTCATGAGCTGTGCAAACTGGTTTATACAACAAAGACTACTGGGAAATATCAATTTGTTTAAAAAAGAAAAGAAAAKAAWATGTAGCCTCCCACATGTTTGTTRGTTTCTTTAAACCATAAAGGAGGACAGCTTGTGRCAGCTTTTGTATAAAAGCAGGTTTCTACATTTCGTGGTTAAATGAGGTAGTGTTTATAAAGCACTTAGCTTTGAGCTTGGAATAAAAATGATGGCAATTAATTATTGTTATTGTGCCCTGTGGGGTGATCAGATGAGTCGGTGCCAACCTGCAGGCCTACATACTGTGATGGCAAAGAGTGTGTGAAAGGCCCCGACTCTGTGATTCACAGTTCACTCCTGGGGCTTTGCACTCTGTTAAATGCAAACATTCCTTAGCGGGCACTGGGCASAGTGGTGCACACCTGTAATCCCAGCAGTTTGGGAGTCTGAAGCAGAAGGATTGTGAGTTCAAAGCCAGACTCAGTAACTTGGTAAGGCCTTGAGAAACTTAGTGAAACCCTGTCTCAAAATAAAGTGTGAAAAGGGGGCTGGGGATGTGACTCAGTGGTTAAGCACCCCTGGGTTAAAACCCTGGTACAAAAAAAAAAAAAAAAAGTGTATTCCTTAGCAGGCATTTGTGCCCCAGTATGAATAAGTTCACTGGATCTTTTCAGGAGAAAGTGTCAAGAGTAGAATAAAAAGGAGTATAGGGTTCCTGACAATTCTGAGGCTGAAGGCAGTATCCAAGCAAATCGATTGTGACCAGCCCTGGTCCCACATGTGCATCAGCTGCTGTGAGTGTCAGCCTTCTCAATACCTGTGASAATCTGGGCCACGAAAACCCTGACTGGCACTGGCAGGAAGACAAGAGCTGCTTCTCTTCATGGTCATGTAGTAGCCCATGCCTTCCAGACATTTCCTGCTTAGGTGCATGGGACATACTTTGAGGAAGCTTGGGTAGGGAAAGTCTCTGACAAAATTATACTTAATTCCAGGGAGAAATCTTGTTAACTTCAGAGAAGTCCCCCAGTATGCTTCTTTAGGGATGTTCTCCAAGTTTCTTTCGTTTTGAGCTGTCTGAACAAACTGATTCTGCTTGTGTTCTTCTTGTGAACTAAGAAGGTCCCATGATTTCCTAAGTTCTAGAGATATAACCTTTCCTATAGCAAACATTAAAAAAGAAAACATTAAGAGTGAGTAGATTTTTTTTTTTTTTCTGGTGAGGAGGAGAGGATTTACACAGAGATGGAGTAACTGGTCATGTCGTTCAGAGACAGGTACCACAAAGGCTGAAAACTCCCTTGGTAATGATATTTTTATCTCTTATTTGGAGTGARAGCCTCTCCATCTAAAAGAACCTTTTCTAGAAAAACACTGTGGAAAGATTGAGCTGACRTTGGTCTTCTCCCAACAATGTGACAACAGTGACAGATAGCTGACCCTTTGAAGGATATTTGGAAAGCCTGGCCTTGAGGAGATGGTGTACAAGTTGGACTTGARCAAGGAGAGAACACGCATAGTTACCACTATCTCTGGAAGACTAACAGGGTCATGCAACACCTGCGGAACTAGGGGACGGGATATTAAGGGAAGGTCTTGGGCCCTGAAGAAAGTGGAGGAAATCAGGGTCAGGCAGGAGCACTAAAGGTTGCTTTTTGTCTTAAGCCTCTTTCCTCATTTGCCAGCTTAAAATGTATGTGGGCACAGAGGAAGGCAAGAGCCTAATGTCAGTGCTGCTCTTTAGGCTTAAGACAGGGTCTATAAACAATATTTATCACAGAGTCCAAGCATCTTTTTATATTTGCCAGTRAAGGAATGAATAAGTCATTCTTTTTAAAGCAAATGTATTGCACCACATCACATTCTGAGGCAGGATTTCATGGCACATGAAAGATATTATTTCATGCAGCAAAAGAAATAAAGTTCAGAGTATGCTGAAATGATAAAGACAAACAAAAGGAGAGAAATGCAAGGCAAGCAGGAGGAAGTAAAAGGATTTATGAGGGGGGGGGGAAGGCTCCTAAAACAAATAGCTGGCTTTGGCATATTGACATGATATGATACTAAATTATCAGCGAGGCCCTCCATTGTTTTGATATAGTTTGGGGCAATGTTAACAAAATAATAGACTGAAGTGCATCACGAATTCTTCATGCTCCTCTTACCTAGGAAGGCTGCCATGTTCATCACTTGACTAAACACACAGCTCGCAGGAGGATCATCCCCTGCAATACTTGAAAAAAGATGAAATGTTTTATAATTACTCAAAATCTATAATCCTCCCAACTTTTCCTAACATCCAACAGATCAGGTGAGAATTATAGAGTTACCTTATATATGGTGCATGCTTCACGCCAGATTTCCTGGGTAACAAACAACAGAGAGAGGCTTAGGTTAAAGCGTGGTCACTGCTGCAGTTCAGCTCTGCCACTGGCAAAGGCTTCGCTAAAAGGCTGAACAACAAACTCCCCCAGAGATAAGCTTTACCTTTCAGCTGAATTTAATGGTAATATTTTTTCGTCTTCAACAGCTATAAAGTACCTATCAGGAAAGAAAGATAAGTTGATAAAACAAAGCAATTTTTAAAAAATAAACAAAAAATTCCAAGAATCATTTGTTTCCCAGTTAAATAGACTAAACTATTCTAAATCATACTCATTCTTTTCTGAGAAAATCCTTTTTAATAACATCTAATTCTTTGAAGTTCMAATGTTATTTTTAATATTTTCTTAATTTTCAAAACACCCCCAAGGGCTGGGCTTGTAGATTGGTGGTGAAGCGCTTCCCTTGTACGTGTGAGGGCACTGAGTTTGATCTTCAGCACCACATAAAAATAAAATAAAGGTATTGTGTCCATCTACAACTAAAAATAACATAATACTAAAAAAATTTAAAAACACCCTCAAAATTTATGGCATTGATTTTAATCTGCAGCTTTTTTTTTTTTTTTTTTTTTTTTTTTTAAGGACTAGCGATAGAATCCAGGGCCTTCCAGAGAGTAGGCACGTGCTATACCACTGAGCTACATCCCCAGCTCCCAAGGATTATAGTTTAGAAACCAGAAAACAAAGAAACCTTCCAACTTTGAGTAAATTGAAATTACAATTCAGTTTCTAGTTTCTTAGAAATAAATATCCACCACTCTTTTTTTAATGTTATTTTTTAGTTGTAGGGKGGACATAATATCTTTATTTCATTTTTATGTGGTGCTGAGGATTGAACCCAGAGCCTCACCTCACATGTGCTAGGCAAGCACTCTACCACTGAGCTACAATCCCAGCCCCTATCCACCACTCTTAATGAATTTAAACTAAAATTTCTTAAAGTGATTTATTACTTGAAATAAGCAATTTTTGTGGTAAGCCAGGACTTCCAATGTAATGATATTCATCTTATAAACATATCAGACCTTGTCACAAATACTTGAACTATGAACAGGACTGTGAATGGAATCCAGATCATGTTAGTATCAAATTAGAAAATCTTGCAAATAATGAATTTACATGACCACTTTATAAAATGTTCATTATAAGAACAGATGAACACAAAATCAGCATTCTTTATTACCTGCTTTGCATATTTATTACTTAATCTTATTTTAAATAATAAAAGATGAGAAAATAAATGGGGACCTTAGTAAGATTAAATTACTAAGCATATTATCCTAACAGATTTATAAATACATCCATATAGATATGTCACTTATTCTCAAAACTTTGTTTTTAGCTCACTGCATCTGAATCTTTAAGTCATTAAGAGCATACTCACACTATCCACAATCCAGCTGAAGTAAACAAAGTAAATACAAGAGGTAAAAACATCCATACACTGCATTTCTTCCCATCCATGCCTGTACCACTGGAATAAAATGAACAGGTGTTAATAATTAAGGCAAAAATTTACCTAACTCTTTCAAGATGGAAAGGAATTCCAGTAGGGGGAATCTTGTGAGCAGTTAACATAGACACAGAGTCTTAACTGTGATCTGATGCCAAATTTCTCATGAAAACTTTTGAGTACATTTAAGAATGGATAAAGGGGTTAGGACTTTTAGAAGAGCTAAGTACCAAAGGCAAATTCCAACCTACCTTTAGTGCTATTAACATTTACAGGTTTATGGACCTAAGTGCATAAGTATACTCCCAGGCAGACAGGTGTTATAAACAAATAGTTACTAAATAAATCAGCATCACAGGGGAAAAGAGCAAAAGCTTTGCAAATCTGAACTTTTCTTGTGACTTTACTGAGCAGCTATCACAGTAGACACAAAGATAAATGCTCTAGAAAATAATGCATTAGATTAGCTCAATGAAAAAACTGGGGAAAAAATACAGATGCTGGGCATTTGGGGATATAACATTTTCACAGCAAAAATACATAAATTAAAAACTCCCCTAGTCAGACTCAATGGTGCACACCTGCAGTTCCAGCTACTCAGGAGGCAGAGGCAGGCGGATTTCTTGAGCCAAGAAGTTTGAGACCAGCWTTGGCAACACAGTGAGACCCCCATCTCAAACTAATAATTTTTAAATTCCCAGATAAAAGTAAAAACTAGAGGCTTTAGAAGTATCTAGGAAATGCTGCTCTTCTGCCGGGGATGTGGGAATGGGCTGATCGTGGGCGGGCCAGCGCTGATCCTGCTTTGCTGGCAACATTTGTACAACAACATCACCTGCAAGGTAACAGAACTGGGAGTATCCAAAGCTGAAAGAAGTGGATGGTGTGCTTGGCTGAGCAGCAGCCTGGGAGAACGCAGACTCTACAGCAGAGCCATGTCCGAATTCGAACATCCTCGAGCTTACTGCATGCAGCTCCAGACCCGCTCTGCAGACGATCCCATGACCACCTTCTACAGGCGCTGCAGAGCTCCATGCGGACACCACTGGAGGGACTAGGGCTGGCCCACCTGCGCAGTGGACGCCCAGCAGGATATGAATTGTGTGTTCTGAGACTCTTTGCTGGTGAAGTGGGAGGTCTGCCCCTTGGGATGGGAGACCAGGGTGTCAGGAAATGGTGCCTGTCTGCCAGTCTGGGAGTTGCTGTATGGTGGTGGGGAGACCCACCGGGAAGTGTGCTTGGTTCAAAGTCCTGCACCTTCTCCTTTTACCTTCCCTAGGCAGATGACATTTCCTCATACCAATGAACAGTCTACTGTTTGCACAACTTAGTACATTAAATATCCCTAAATACTTAACTGTTAATTATAAACCTGTAACCAAAACTTGTTCTGGATGTGGCATTAAAATGAAGTCTAATAAAAAAAAAAAAAAGGTCTAGGAAAAATTATTGGTACCAAACAGAAGTAGCTAATTATCACTTTGTGATATATTTTTGCCTAAAACCATCAGACAAAATCTATTAGACATATTGGATTCCAGCATAATCCTTAAGGAAAAAAAAAAAAAAAAACAACACTTCTAAGAAAATAATGTACCCTAGTGACCTCCACTGGTGACTTGACAAACATAATGATAATGTGATTAAATGACATTTCCAGTATTAGATTCCCCTCAGTATTCATTATTTTGAATTTTACCACAAGTTTGAACCTGCACTGCCAAATTTCTGGGTACCTTCATGACATCTGCTTTCATGTGCTGAGACTATGGACCTTCCAAATGTAGACATCAGATAGAGAACATCATGCCCCGTTGAGGCTGGGAAGCCAATCCCTCTGCAAAGAAGTCTGAGTTCCTAGTACAGTCCTCCCACATAAGGTAGATCTTTCTGACTAGGAGACAGACACCTGAATCTAATAACATGCCTTTAACATTTGTGCCTTAGTCTCAAACATATATCTGGGCAGAAATGTTAAACAAATGGTAGAATCTAGGAGTTGGAAGGCATTTGAGGCACTTTCAATCAATCCAATTCATCCAATTCACAATTTTTTTTTTTGAGAATTTTTTTAACATTTATKTTTCAGTTTTTGGCGGACACAACATCTTTGTTGGTATGTGGTGCTGAGGATCGAACCCGGGCCGCACGCATGCCAGGCGAGCGTGCTACCRCTTGAGCCACATCCCCAGCCCCAATTCACAATTATTGATACCCTACTTGTGCTAAGCACTCTGCCAGACTGTGGAAATACTGAGTTGAGGTCTAATGAATACCATGACTTATTTATTTATTACCAGTCTATGCGATATATATAGTAGTCTCTCCTTATGTGAGGGGGATACATTTCAAGACCCCCAGTGGATGCCTGAAACCATGAATAGCACTCAACCCTATCTATATATTTTTCTAATACATATATTTTCACTTTAAGAAAGCAGTTTATGTCTTTTATCTTGTACATCTGTGTTTAGTTTTTCATCACTGTGACCAAAATACCCAACAAGAACAACTTGTAGGAGAAAAGGTTTATTTTGGTTCCTAGTTTCAGAGGTTCAGTCCATGGTGAGCCAACTCCACTGCTCTGAGCCCAAGGTGAGGCAAGTTGAGGGGGCAGTGGAGAAGTATCGCTTATTTCGTAGCCAAGAAACAGAAAAAGAGGAAGGCATCAGAAGTCACAGGGAAGGTGAACCCTTCCAGAGCAAGCCCCCAGTGACACCTCCTCCAGTCATGGCCCCAGCTACCACTACCTGCCTACATTATCACCCAGTTATTTCATTCAAATTAAGATGAACTGATTAGGTTACAGCTCTCACAATCCAGTCACTTCACTTCCAAAAATTCCTGCATGAACACAGGAGATTTTGGGAGACACTCCTATCCAAGCCATAACAGGATCTAAATTGCCAGCATCACTATCCTTGAACTTTGGGCTATTAATAAGTAAAATAAGCATTACCTGAACACAAGCACTGAGATGCCATGATAGTTAATCTGATAACTGAGATAGCTACTCTGTGACTAATGAGCAGAGAGCACATACAGAGTGGATACACTAGACAAAGGATGATTCAAGTCCTGGGCAGAATGGAGTGGGACAGCATAAGATTTCATCACATTAGTCAGAATGGCACACAATTAAAAATGTATGAAATGAAAAAAAATGTACGAAATGTTCATTTCTGGATTTTCTATTTAATATCTTCAGACCATGGTTCATATGGATAACTGGAACCATAAAAAGTAAAGTTGCAGTAAGGGAAGATACTATAAATGCTTGGTCCATGACTTTCCAATCTATGGAAGAACAGTGACTGTTTTAAGCATAAACAATATGGCCAGGCAGGATCTATTCATATTTATGTCCAAAAAGTTATAGATTAATAACAAAGCTATCAATTATGCTAACAAAATAATTYCATCCAAAGGAGTACATAAAATGGCAATGGTAATTGAGTAGGTAAAACAATTATTCTAGATTTGCCACTGAAACAGGGTGCTCTGGCAAGTTGAGATAGTTACACTACAAGACTTAGAAGCTCTAGTTTCCAACCCCAGCTTTGCCAAAAACTGACCCCTTATGGCCTAGATTAGTTACATCATTTTCCTATCTCAACTACACCAAGATTAATGAATTTGAAGAAAGGGAGAGAGAAGTCAAAGACTGAGTTCTTCCAGGGTGGTAGTACCTTGGAGGTTAACCCAAGTCCAGTATTGTATATCTTTGCAGTAAGAGAATGCCCTAATATAATCAGAATTATCAGCCACAGAGAAAAATGTTAAACATTTTTACATTAGACTGGTGACAAAATCAGAATGCCAATATATGAAGGTAGAATGAATGAGAAACATAAGTGTCAARTACTCAGATTGGCTTCCCTTTTAGGAAGATCTATGTGGGAAATCAAAATTTGAAAGCAGGGAGGCTAGATGAAGAGAGTTAATGAGACAACTCTAAGACCATGCCAGCGAGCTACAATAGTTCTCTGCACTGATTTCCTTCAAAGAGAAGCAGTCTGGTGGGACAGAAATGGTATGGCAAGGCAAAGGACCCCAACCCAATTCTGCCATTCACTAGCAATGTCATTCCATCTCTTAAGCCTTAGTCTAACTGTAGAGATAACTCTGTTTTGTGGAATTGTGCTAAGGATTAATGATGCTGAGATTAAACACCTCCCACATAATCCGTGTTCAGTAAGTGCTGTAATTCTAACTGCAGAGCAAATCCACACTTGCCTTAGGACAAAGTTCCCACTCTACAGGACGGGGCTCAGGACAACTTGACACTTTCTCATTCTCTGGGATCCCACTTTTCTAGCTTCTCTAGAGAGGTGCAGACACCCTTCCTGATGGTAATAATCCTTTTCCCCCTCAAATGACTTCCCCTCAAGTTAAAATCTTGAGGTCTTAATAGTGAAGGTCTACCTTCCTGAGACTCTACTGCTTTGCTGTTTTTCAGTATGCATGTTTTTCAGTGCTCATGGTCAATGGCTAAAAGTACACTGTTTTTCTTTTATCAGTTTAACTCTCAAAGGGTAACCTATGTCCAAATTCTGGGAAACTCACAGTTTCCCTGGCTTAATAATATGAAATATGCCTTTTCTTAACTTTGCGAGATGCCTTGGGAGGTGAAAAGGGTAAGCCTATGAATGGCTGTGTTATCAGTTTGCAATGGAACTACTTTGGTTTTCTTTAGGATTTTTAAAATGCTGGCTATGCTTTTTTTGTTTAAATGATTGCAAATTCACATGCAGTTGTAAGAAATAATATAGACAGATCGTGTATATCCTTCATTCTGTCTCCCCAGGGTAACATCCTGCAAAAACACAGTATTATATCATCAACTAAGAAACTGGCTTGATACAACCCTTCAACTTAAATCAGATTTCATCAATTTTATGCACACTCTTTACACGCGTGTGTGTGTGCGCGCACGTGCAAAGCCCCCTTCTTACCTTCTCTATCTTCCTACCCACTTTGCTCTGCAAAAGACCCTATGAAGTGTGAAGACCTCCAGAGAC